CAATTTCCTGTCTAACATTGTCACAGGTCCTTACACTTGTAATGCTTAACTGATTGAAGCTGTTGATGGTATAGTCAGAGGCCTATTTCTAAGGCCTGAATGAGAGCCGGGGAGATGGCATGGCAGGCTGTGAGAGAGTGAGCATACATGTTGTGGCCAAATATACATACTGTTGGGCCAAATATATGTGGTGTAGCCAATTTTGGTTTTCCCCGTAACTTTGCCTAATGGGTGCATATAGGTTTTGTTTTGGAAAAGTTTTTTTTTCCTTAATTATATTATTATATTAGTGTTCACTGTAAATATTGGGCACTGTGGCCTGCTGAATAAAGAAAATGATTTTTGGGCCCTAGTTTCTCCTGGTCTGTAACCCTTCTTACTGCCTCGCCGCTGTTCATCCTAACATGCTTTAACACTGAATGCAGCGTAACAATAATCACAGGCGTATGATTCCCCAAAAAACGCCGTCAAGCTTTTTATGCCAAAGTAATGGTGATCTTGAAGGTACAGAAAGATTGTTTTATCACAAGGCTCGGGGTTTGTCTGAAATTTCTTAGTGTCAGACTTGTCACAGCGGTATCACACCAAAATTTTGACCCCAAACATTTGCTCAAACTCTGCTATGTTTGAGAATGAGACCATGTCTGATTCAGTTAGACCTACTGCTTCCTGCAAACGCTTAACTTCTATCTCCGCAACCTGATGTGGCATGTCGGGGTTTAAGAGACGGACTACACAGTAAGCAAAGCATAGATTATTGCCAGAGTTTTCAGAAACAATAAGACAGCTGAGCTTCTTTTGCAGAATGTCAGATTTTAAAAGCTTTGTTAATTTCTGTCGTTTGGCTGCACCACCATTTCGATTATGAATAATCTGAACGACCAGCTCCAGCATTTCATCACTGAAAACCTCAGCATTGCTCTGTGAAAGGTTGTCTACCATCGATAGCAAATCATTTAGATCGATCTCACCTCAAACATGTATAGCTGTGTTATTGGTTACTGAAGCCCCCTGCAGTTCCACCTCTATGATAGCCCCAGGCCCCGCTAAAGCGTTCACTCTGTTCACCAAATTTTGGAATGTCTGTATAACAGACCTGTAAACGTCTACGGTGTCATCATGCTGGATTCCATCAAAATGAAAGCACTGCCTTATTTAAGTGTTGTTAAACTGCGGTCTGCATATTACATTAACATCTACAACATCACCATCAGCTCCCCCACCTTGTTGTACCCCATTATCAATGTACATAATTTCTGGATCCATATCCACCGCCGCATCCCCCTCCCCGCCTTGTTGTACGCCATTATCAATGTTCATAATTTCTGCATCCACCTCCTCAGCCCCATCATCATTTAAATCATTTAATAAGTTTTGCAAGATGGAGTTAAATTCACCTGGATGCTCACCATTCAGCTCTGTTAGCATCTGGTGCAGTTCAGAGTGCATTTCGGCATCTGCGTTCAGTCCGCTGTCACTCCTAACACCAGATCCGGTCACGTGGTCATCAGCCATTTCCGCCTCCATAGACACATGTGCATTTCGTGGCCCCCCGTCTACATCGTTATCCATATTAACACAGTCCATAGCTTCATCAGTACCATTCTCATTTAAATCATTTATTAAGTCGAGCATGAAGGGGTTAATTTCAGCCGGCGGTCCGTCATTCAGTTCATCAATCAGCCGCTGCAGATCAGGGTTAATATGCATCCTTCTAGACCCCCCAGCCCCATCAAAACTACACAGCCACCGTTTTTCAGACATGCCCCCCTGCTTATTCTTTAGATCTGGTTAGACAGATCCGCCAAAAAATCACACATCTGTGATCTTTCAGCACCTGATTGAAAATTACACCACATCAGCAGAAGTGAACAGAAGAATTCAGAGTTTTAATTATGGCTCCATGGAACAAAACAACAAACCTCCTGGTGTAGAATTAAGAGAGGGTTCCAATGACTTAGGCTTAAATGCCACTCAGAGCTGGTGTTTACTGCCTTATCTGCCCATCATGTTTGGAGATCTTGTGTGTCCTAATGATCAGCACTGGTATTTGTTCATTTTATTGCTTCAGATAGTCAATATTGTGTTTTCTTCAGTTATATCCACTGGTATCACCATTTATTTAAAACATCTGATTGTAGAGCACCACAGTTTGTTTAAGCATTTGTTTCCTGATAAGAACATGTTGCCAAAGCATCATTTTATGGTGCATTACTCCAGTTGTATGCAGAAAATTGGACCACTGATACACTGTTGGTGTGTGCGCTACGAAGCTAAGCATAACGCTTTTAAAAAGCAGCTGAAAAGCTTTAAAAACATAACGAAAACATTAGCAAAGAAACACCAGTGCCAAATGGCTTATATTTGGCAAACATTTGATCCAAATGACTTAAAATTAGGCCCCGGGAAAATGGTCCCTTTGAATGAAATGGAAGTTGGCGCTAAGATGGCTGAGACACTTAATGTGTCTATGTGGACTAAGGTCCTAAATGTGAAATGGGTCAAGCACTGTGGAAATGTTTATCGGTCAGGGTTGGCGGCTTGTGTTCAAGTTCAAAATGATATGCCTGTATTTCATGTAATCCAGAATATTGTTATTAAAGATGAGCATGTCCTTTTAATGACAACTGCACTAAAAACGTTATGTTTAGATGAACATATCCATGCTTACAAAGTTGCACATACTATTGAAGCACCTTATGTTTTGGAGATTAAGGATATTTTGCACCACAAGTTGTTTGACATTCTGATGTCTTATGCTTGTGATTCAGATTTGTTTATTGTACCATATAGTTTCATGTCATTCTTCTTCATCTCCTCTGTTATATTATCACTATTTTTTTTTATTCCTTTTGTATTATTGTTTTCATTTCATTTTTTTTTTTTAAACGATCACAACAAGATTGCACATTCACGATGACAAGTGAATTAAGTGTAAGTGTAATGTTGTTTAAAGAGGAGCTTGAAAAAATAAACAGTTTGTTGTTGGTTTTATTTTCAGACTGAAAATCAAGTTCTTCATTTTAGAGCTTTTTGAGGGTAAAACATGAATTCAGAGTAATTCAGAAGAATAACTCTGAATAGAGTTAGTTATTCTTTGTAGTTCACTCGTAATTGATGATAACAACTCTGGAGGGGAGGTAAATTGAGGTAGAGCAACCTGAATTTCCTCTGAACAGAGTTAAAAAGTAGTAGAGTCATTTTCTTGTAGCTCTAAACCGAGTAAAATAGGACGAGAGTTGATTTGAAAATACACTAAATAGAGTCAAGTATCGCAGGAGAGAGTAAAATATTAACACTACATTGAGCATAATTAACTCTGGAAAAACAACTCTGTCAAAAGAGTAACTTTTACTCTTTTCAGAGAGGGACCAAATGTTATCTGGCAATTTGAGTAAATTTTACTCAGGCAAATTTACTGTGTACCAGATTTACATATTTATTTCAATCACTGCCCATATGGATACCAGCATCTAATTTTAAAAAGCTAGACAAAATACTTTCTGTATTTATATAGCAGAAAATGAAACCTAGAATTCGAAAAAAGTTATTATTTAACCCAAAAGAAAGAGGCGGCCTTGGTTTCCCTAACTTGATGTGGTACTATTGGGCAGCACAACTTCGTGGTGTAGTTGAGTGGGTGGTACAACATGAGGAAACAAAATGGATAGGATTGGAGAACTGTGAGTGCCCATTAATACCTTTAGAGACAATACCATTCATAGAACAAGAGGACTGGAGAGGTCTTAAAATTAAGAATGAATCGATTATCAGCACCCGTAGGGTGTGGTCGCAGGTAAGGAATAAGACAGGGGTGGCGTCAACAATCTCAAGAGCAATAATAATCACAAGGATCGCAGATTTCTTGCCAAATAAATTGGATGCTGGGATTCGGATATGGGCAGAGAAATGGTTAGTAAGTATAAATCAAATGTTTGAGGGAGAAATTCTAAGGTAGTTTAGGCAATTACAGGATACATATGGGTTGTGCTCTATGGATTTTTATTGGTATTTACAACTGAGAGATTACCTAATGTCCCACAAGGAATGGAATAGCTTAAAATGGCCACCCTCATTCATAGAACATTTATTGATTAAATGCATAGAAGAGAACTACACTCTAAAAAGAAATACTGCATATTACTTAATTTAATTAGTGTAACATTTTTACACTTAAAAATAGAGTTGATTTGAAAGCCCTCAAATTGATTATAACAAAACAGGAGTATTAAGTAAATTTAAGTAATATTTTCATTTACATCTGAATGAATTGTCTTGTCACAAATACCACATAAATTGAGTAAATGTAACTAAAAATACTTTGTGAACCAGATTGAATACATGAGTAGAAGGCATTAAAGGAAATAAGTAAATATAACTGAAAACATTTGTGGTAGTTAAGTTCAAATTTATCAATGACTTACTAAAAAAATTTGTTGTAACTACTGTTTTTTTAAACTTGACTAGATTTGACATTATTCAGTAAGAAAAACCAAACAATATAACCAACATCGCACAAAACATGAAAACTGTCACACTCCGCGTCGGGCGAGTGGAGAATCAGGCGAGAGAGCCGTGAATACAATAACACGGGGGTTTATTCAGGGCAGACAGCAACGAACAGTAAACATCACCACTGCACATGACATTAAACAATGACAGATCTCAGGGATACTGACTTAGACGCAGACTAAATACACAAGACAGGCTGAACTTAACAAGCAACAGGTGATTACAATCAGGAAGTAACACGAGGTAGCGAGGGGGGCGTGGCACACACGAGGATCGTACAAGCCGGGCGTGACAAAAACTTTAATTGAAAACATTTTTGCTATAGAAAATTACATTTCTTTTTAGCATATGAAACTACCAGCAGTAACATTCTTTCAGGTGTATATTGCACATAACCAAAAACTGCATTTTGTCACTTAGCAAAAGACCCTTCTCTAGAAGAACAGGAGATATATTACAAAAGAGAGATTCAACTGTTGTCATTTGAGCCATTACAAACTGTCCCTCTGACTTTAGTACTTAAATTATCTTGACACAACTTAGAACAGCACATTTGAAGTTGTTACAGCAAAGGCAATTATGTTTACCCAGGATGAAGCACCTCTGAACTAAAATGCTTCTTGCCAATGGCAACAGCTAAAAAAAAACTTGCATGACATTTATACAGTTTGCATATAAATGCTAGGCATTCTCTTCACACTAAAACAATTTGTGACTACTAGCCAGAAATATCATAATCTGTAAGTAAAAGGGCAAAAAAACATGTTGCGTTTTTGGCTTTACATTAGATAATGCAATACACTCTCCAACTCATGCTTTTTTACACACTGAAATTTCTCACAGTGACAGAAAATACAAACCTTTCTCCTTGAAAACTACAACATTCAAGTAACTGTGTGTGAATATTGTCTTGAAACTAAATTCAAAATTGGATGGCTCATAGCTCACAGGAATGATCAAAAGAAAAAACAAAATGCATATCAATGCCAGATAGAAAAGTGCATTAAGAACATCATCAGATCGCACAATCAGTCAGACAACACTTGGAGATGAATTGACAAAACAAACCCATAGATTGTCTACGTTTCTGCCCTGAAGAGCCTTTGCATTGCACAAATGATCAAATTGGGTATGAGTCTTATCTGTGCTCATCCACCCAACTGCCAACTATGTCATTAAATTGTTTTTCAGTCTTTGCACCTTTGTTGACAGGTTTCCAGGATCCAGTTCCACAAGCACCTTTTGAAATACTTCAAAAATGTATCTTAGAGTTTTGGGGTATTTCAGGTCCAATGCATAAGTTAGTCCAAGCAAGTAGCAGCAGGCTCTGCTGAGATCCCCGAGGTGGTGGAGTATGATGGAGCCTTCAATGACGAGTCCCACATTCCTGACTTGTCCATTTTCATTACACACGAGGTAAACAGCCATCACCTCTGCTGCCAGCTCTTCTTCCACATTTGAATCGTCGAAATTCTGTAGACACGGTAAAGGAAACATTATTAATGCAGGCAGAATGTCACCAAAAGAAAATATAAAACTAACCACAAAATTAGCTATATAAATATCAACTTGTAACTATTGTTTGTGTGTGTGTGTATATATGTATATATATATATATATATATATACACACACACACACACACATACGGGTTTTTAAGTCTTAAGAGGACTTTGCCTCCCAAACCAGTTGAAACATGGTTTTAGGGGACCCACCTTTCCCTTTGCTCTAGAGAGATGCTGTAAACATGAAAAAAAATATTTTGCTTTGCACAACACAGATATCACTTCAGATTAATTCTAAAGTAGATTAAGCTCTTTACATTACCACCTGACATTATAGTGGCATATGGGAACTTCCCGAGAAACTCCCACCTACAACCAGAACATTGTTTGTGGGGTCATACATGATTTTCCAGGACATCAAATTAACAACACACAAAAATTTCCATTCACTGTGTTAGAGGGTCAGTGATGTTTTATTGGACCTTGAATATGCACACAAACAAAAATTTTTTTTTTCCTGATTAATGAAACGCAGATTACTTATGCACAAGTATTAAGGTGAAATTAAAATATTAATAGAAACAATTATTTTTTTTATTATAACTTGTAACAAAAGACTTACAACTTAACATGAGGGCAAATTCTTTACTCCCCAAAAATTAGAAATAAACAATCTTTTTCTCCTTGGCATTTTTGCCTCTATAGAAAATTATATATATTCAATTAGACATGGTTTTCCTTTTAAGTGTGATCCCTCTATTTCTAACAAAATCTCTTATATTTTGTACAGTGCGCCCTGCCAGAACAGGGTCCTCAGCTGACTTGCACTGCTGACACTCTGCCATTGTTGCCAGTTTTCCTTTGGTTATATGATCTTTAAAATGTTTCAATACAGCTGTCACCTCCTGTTTTGACCACTGTGTTCGCGTCTTCTTCTTTGAGGTTTCAATTCCTGCTGCAAAAACTTGGCCCACTGTCACAGGAAGAAACAAATGAAGTCAGTATTATCTAGATGCAAACACATACAAATAACTGAAGTAGTTATACATAAGATTGCTGAGAATGACAATTTCGAGTTGGGATACGATTTACTACACTTGCATTTGTAGGGCAGTTCTTTCAGTAAAGAATGCATACAACCTGTATCTAAATGTGACCTGGGAAATTACACCGGCTCACAAAATTTCTGGGGTTCTTTTATTTCTGGGAATATGTACAGAAAAGTAAAACAAATGATACAAAATATAAAAGGTAGTCAATTTCCTTCACAAAAATTTCAAATAAACGTAATACTGTATCTCCGTCTATTCTGCTAGCATACACCAGAAAACCAATATTCCAAAATTAAAAGAAGCAAAATCGTTTCAAAACTACCACCAATAACATACGGTAATGGTTCTGTTTCAGAGGGGATTAAACAGATAAAACACATTAGTTTTTACATAAAACAAAACTAGTTACTTTAAAACCCCCTCCACAACGTTGAAGCAAAACTCACCCTTCAGCCCGTGAGATCGCACACGTTAACACAATAAGGCGTGAGATTTAGCACAATCCCTCGATTCTCCCAATGTAGTACGAGTCCGCAGAAAACAACTTCAGCAGCCTCCACAAAACCGTGGCATTTTCCCCGCGCTTGCTGACCAGTCTCAAAACGTGCCTTGCTCATGCGCAAAAGCACTCAGAGGAACGTCAAGTTCATGGTCACGCGCTGTCATCATTAAAGGGACAGAGACCCTCTTTCAATTTATTTTGTACAGCACCCGGTTACATAAAAGTAACACAAATCTGTAAATTAATTATAAAGGACAGAAAAAGAGTCATTTATGAAGCATAACACCAGAATTTCTGCGCTATAATCTGCAGTAATGTCAAACTTAACATTATTCTATTTAATTAGCACACAGACATTTAAACGTTATGTTATCCAAGGCTATTTAGAAAGCTGAGCTTCACAATGGTTTAAAAAATGGATGGATTCATACCCAGGTCATACCCAAATTAATCACACATATTAACTGGCTAAATAAGGCAAGTATTCAACATATAGAATATTGCAAATAAGAGAAACAGCATGAATATCACTGCATGAATGTTACTTGGTGGGAGACAGAGAGGGAAGCCCAGGCTGATCCAGAGGAGATCTCCATATGGCTCTTTTTCAGCAAAAGTCCCCCACCACTAAAGTTCTCTGAGAAAAATGACCTCCCTAGAGACCTGTGACAAAAGTCCTAACCCAGCTGTGTTGCTTTACTCTTACAATGATTGTACACAGTACAAGGTTTGCTTGACACTGACTAATCAAGGATGACCACCTGCCAAAAAATCCCAACATAGATTCACTTCCTAGGAGGGCATGTCTGAACAAGAACTTAGGCATAGTTAAATTGGTCTTTAATATATAGATACTAATACTCCTTTATTACAAATGGCTTTGGGGAAAACCATTCATGTTGCCACAAGTCCCAAAAGCATCAGAATCTATGGCTATGTGTAAGATGTGCCACAGCGCCAGCCAAATATACCACTTAGCAGTGGACAAACTTATTGTCTCGGTAATCAAGCTTCATTCCATAAAAAAAATTAAAATCTGAATTATACTGAAAGTTACCACTGATGGAATCTGTTGAGCCTCCAGCATTATCTTCTGTAGCTGGCTGATTGCTTTGACTTTCTGTAAGAATATGGAACTGCTCAATCAGTGTACATGCAAACAATTCTAGTAGAACATGGAAAAAATAAACTGAATATACTGCTAACACTGCAAAATGCATGAAAATACTTTAAAAATACCATTCAGTCTTGGTGTGCTCAAGGTACCTGTAGCATCCTCTGTATCACTGTCAGGTTTAGTTCCATTACTGCCATCAGTTAAGTTGATCTCATCTTAAACAAAGAAGTCAGATTGAACTGAACTGGAACAATGATGCTACAAAACATATTATGCTCATGTTTTAAAAGTATCTGAGGTGCATCAAGTTAACCAATCTAGATGAATGTGATCAGATTTCACATATTTATCATGAAAAAGGACATACAGCAAGTAGATACTGTACAAAAGCATACCTTCAATTTCAATTTCATCAAGTGATTTGCCTTGCAGGTTAGGGAGACACCCTTTTTCCATGGCAAGCAGAAGTTTGGATATTTTTGCCAGCTGAGTTGTCGCTTCTGGGAGCCTGTAATACTCACGGTGTACACGAATATCGTGCCCCAAGAAGTCAGCAACTTGATCTAATTCATTGTTTTTCAAGTTAAGAATTTGTGATATAGTGGCCACATGTTTGCGCAAGTGTGTTGATCTGAGATGTTGTGGATTTTCAGCACCACACTGAGTTGCATAAAGCCTCAAGCAATCTTGACCTCTGTAATGACTCTGGCAGTTGGGTCTAGCAAACAAAAAACAGTTATCCTGAACCGCACACTCTGTTCTTTTATTCACCAAAAGTGTTAGGGCATCCACCATATCTGGTGTGAGGAGGACAGCAACTTTTCGACCTCTTTTACCTCTGATTTCAACTCTACTAAAATGGCTGCAGAGTTTCTGCTCAAATTTGGAAAGGCCCACTGCAACATCTGCATGAAGTAGTGTGTTCTCTCTTTCCTGGAAGCTTTTGAGCTGCATTTTAGAAACTTCACCGGCACGCCTACGATTGAAAATAATTACCCTTGCAAGCGTAGCTTTTGCAAGCTCTGCAAAACTTTGTGATGATGATGTCTTTTTCAGGTTTTCAGATGCTGCATTGGCAGTAGTCTCCAGGTGTTTGTGAAGGAGTTGAACATCACGAATGAAAGGCAGTGTTGACGGCTTATTGAACTTTGCTTCATTCAGTGTGCTTAACACCCTGTGTGATATTAGCTCAGACCACTTGGTGGTATATAGCTTTCTGAAGGTCTCAGTTGACTTAATTAACTCTTCATCTTCAGCCATTAGACCTCTGCAGTGGATGAGCTCGCAGACCTTTTGCAATGTGTGGCCCAATTTCAATGCTAGGCTTGGCCTTTGGTAGTAGTTTTTTTCTTCGTCATAACCTGACACTTTCTTTACAGCTTCAATAACATGTTGGAAATTAGCAGATTTTATAGCTTCCTCAAGGCTGTAAATAGAGGACTCACTGCGTAATGTTAGCAAAAACCTCCCAATTTCTCGAAGCTTCTGACGAATGTATTCATACTTAGTAGGGTCATTTCCATGTTTGTTGAAGAATGACTGTGCTAGCTGAAGAATGCAGAAGTCATTGCGTACAACAGAAGATATCTCATCTTGCTTCATTGCACTCAACAGCTTCCAAACTCCTCCAGATATCTGCTGCGAGGATGTAGACTCTGCCATGGCAGCCAAACCCAAGACTCTGGCCCGTCCCTGATGTTCGCTTACTGTACCTGGCTTTGAGGAACATCTTCTCACATGTTGCCATAGATCTTTACGCACAAACATTGCTTTGCAGTACATGCAATGGACAAACTGTTTTGAATCAC